TCCCCCAACTGCCCCTGCTGCCCCTGCTGCATCTGCATCTGCATCTGCACCCGCAACTGCGGCTGCATCGGCGCCGCCCCCCCACCCATGCCTCCTCCCATTCCTCCTCCCATGCCTCCTCCCATGCCTCCGCCCATTCCTCCGCCCATTCCTCCGCCCATGCCTCCGCCCATTCCTCCGCCCATTCCTCCCCCAACGCTGCCGTCGATGGACTGGCGCCGCGACACGGCCGGTGAGGCGCCTAGGATAAAAGAAGAAATACGCCGGCTCAACGAAAGCGCGGAACCAGGCGTTGTGGCGGGACACGGAACTCAACGATATCTCGGCGCCAGCTCGGCTGCATCGCAGCTAGCATCTCGGCTAGCATCTCGGCTGCATCTCGGCTGCAGCTCGGCTGTGTACGGACCTCGGCTGCCCATGCCCCCCGCCGCAGCCATGCCGCCGCCCATCATCATCCCTCCGCCCATGCCTCCTCCGCCCACCATGGCACCTCCCATGGCACCTCCCATCCCGCCTCCGCCCACACCTCCCCCCCCGCCCTGCACCCCTCCCTGCACCCCTCCCTGCACCCCTCCCTGCACCCCTCCCTGCACCCCTCCCTGCACCCCTGGCATGCCCGCCATGCCCTGGCCGCCACCACCAACCTGCCCCACCCCTCCCCCAAACGCCCCGCCCGCCACTCCAACCGTCGCCCCTCCGCCGCCCGCCATGCCACCGCCCGCCATGCCGCCGCCTTGCATGCCGGCAGCCGCCCCCATCCCTCCGCCCATCCCTCCGCCCATCCCTCCGCCCATCCCTCCGCCCATCCCTCCGCCCATCCCTCCGCCCATCACCGGCATGCAGGCGCCGCCGCCCACGCCCGCTTCCGCCTACAGGCGCGTCGTGGACGTGTCGTGGACATGTCGTGGGCACGCCATGGACGTATCGGTAGCGACGTGTGTGCGAGTCGTGGGCGTGTCGTGGGCGTGTCATGGAGATGGGAGGGCGTGGTGGGAAGAGGCGTGGGCGCGGCGGTCCGTGCGGCGGCACAGGGGCGTGCGACGCCTTGCCGGAGCGGGGGCGGGGGCAGGGGGTGCGAGAGGGGCGTGGCAGGGTGTCGGGCGGGGGTGCGGCAAAGTCTCGGGCGTGTGTCGGACGTGTCTCGGAAGTGCCGGCCGCCTTCTTCTTGCCAAAGAGGCTGTCAATGGGGTTGACGGCGGTGGCCTGCAGCTTGAGCCCGTCCGCCGTAGACGCCGCCCCGCCGCCCCCCGCCGCAGCGCCCATCCCCATCCCGTACCCGGCTGGCGACGCGCCCATGCCGGGCATGCCCTGGCCGTAGCCCTGCTGCGGCGGCTGCTGCTGCTGCTGGCCATACGCCTGCTGCGGGTACTGCCCCGGCGGGTGCTGCTGGTACCCGTACGGCTGCTGCGCGTAGCCCTGCTGCCCGTAGCCCTGCTGCTGCCCGTAGCCACCGTACTGCTGTTGGCCATATGCCTGCTGCTGCGTGTACTGCTGCTGCGCGTAGCCTTGCTGCTGCTGCTGCTGCTGCTGCTGCTGGCCGTACTGCTGGGGCTGCTGCTGGCCGTATAGCTGCTGGGGCTGCTGCTGGCCGTAACCGTGTTGGCCCTGCCACATGAGCGGGGATTCGCTGAGGCGTGCAGGCGCCGCGGCGGTCTTGCTAGCGGTGAATTTCTTTTTTTGAGCTAGACTTCGTTGTTAATAGGAACAAGCGAAGGCACACACGACATGACGCCAAACACACGATTGCACGCACCGCACCGCACCTCGCACCCGCGCCCGCCGCCCCGCCAACCAATTTCTTTTGAGCTTAGCGCAGGATCGCTCTCTCACAGTGCGACTGGCACTCGTCGCATAGGCCTCGCATTCGAAAAGTCGGGAACGGCTCTACCCGCAACTTTATCGCTAACACGCGCGCACCGCCGAGCCTGCGGCGGGCGCGCTGCAGCCGCACGTCTACCTTCGTCATAGTGCCACGACGTGCGGCCTAGATTTAGCCCACGCGCCTCTGCTCGCAAACACTGGCCCTGTAGACCCTCCCAGAAAGTTGGCGATGCTCTACAGCATGCCCAGAGCATACCGGACAGGCTCCCGTCGAGCGACGAGCTATGCTGGCTCGCCGCCGGCGGCGAGCTCGAAGACCCGCGCAGGTAGGACACACGATGCCAGCGGCCTGTCGCGGGTGCGGACGGGTGTGAATCGTGTCGCGTGTGCCGCTTGGAGGCGCCCCGGGGGGCCGCTGTAGCCGTCTCCGTGCTGCTGGCCATCGTACACCTCTCTGGCCAGCTCGCATCACGCTACATCCCACATGCCGAGCGAGCCAGGCACCCGTCCGACAGCGCCACGTCGGCTCGACCCAAATCGGCCCGCCGTGTGCCGCCACTTTCGGAAGGGCCTGTGCCTTTACGGAACTCGCTGCGCCTTCTCGCACTCAGAGCCGCCGCCGCCGCCACCGCCGCCGCCACCACCGCCATCAGCCGACCTCGTCGAGGCTCAGGCGCGCTACTCGGTTCTACGCGACCGCTGCAAGTCGCTCGCCGCCTCCGGCGCGCCGCGCGAGCATCTCCTCGCTGCGGCTGCGGCGCTTCGGGAGCAGGGAGAGGCCGTGCGGGCGTTGCGGCCTGCCAAGTCCGCCTCGCGCTTCACGGAGCGGCCGCGGGTGCGGAACAAGGAGCGCGCGGGCGCGCTGCGCCGCTTCCTGATCGACACCTACGGCCTCGAGTCGCTGGCGTCGGGAGCAGGCCCGCTCGACAGCCACTGCCAGGCCGGCCGCCCCTCCGGGACACGGCCATGACACGTCGGTGGCATGGTCTGCAGGCGTGCTCGACGTGGCAGGGGGGCAGGCGCCGCCGCCCGCGAGAATTTAAAGCGAGAATGCCGCGAGAGACTTCTGAGAAGCCGCCACGCGCTTCCGGGACATTTGTGAGACTCTTCCGAGACTCTTCCGAGACTCTTCGGAGGCACCTCCGAGGCACCTCCGAAGCACCTCCGAAGCACCTCCGAGGCACCTCCGTCCTCCTCGCCCCCTCGACTGAAGCGACCAGTCGAGGAGTGAGTGGGTCGGGATGAGAGGGTAGGGCGCTCTCGGCTCTAAGCTGCACACACACACCCAGGGCCTTAGGCGTTACTCAATTAACGAAATCGCGAATGGATTACGAATACGTCGGTATAGGGCGCCCTCGGCTTCGAGCTTCTCAACTTAAACCGCGTGCCGGTGAGCGCGGTGCAGCCCCCCTGTAGTACGGAGTGACTTGTGGGTAGGGATGGACGAGAGATTGCTCAAGTTGACCCGAGATGACGGCGAGATCAGCCGAGATCAGCCGAGATCAGCCGAGATCAGCCGAGGTTGATTGACTCGTCAGGTGACCGTGGTGGACCCGCGCGAGATGACGGCGAGGAGGCTGGGGCGGAAGTGGGAGCGAGGGCTCTACTTCCGCACCGAGCCGCTGCAGGCGCCGCATCGCTAATTAATTAATTAATGAACTACTTAGGTTGGTTTATTCATTACCGCCGCATCGCTAACTCGTTATGCACGAGCTAATGACCACGAGTCGGCGAACCTCGGCTAACCTCGGCTCATCTCGGCTCATCTCGGCTCATCTCGACATACCTCGGCTAGGAAGTGTCTAGGAAGTGTCTGGGAAGTGTCTAGGAAGTGTCTTGCTAGGCGTACAACCGCCCGGCCGGTCGCCGAGGGCTCGACGGGGGTGGCGGCGGTGGTGGCGGTGGCGGTTGCGGCGGCGGTGGTGATGGCCGCGAGGGCGGTGGCGGCGGCGGAGAGGGCGGTGGCGGTGGCGGAGGTGGCGGCGATGGCGGTGGCGGCGGCAAGCTGCCTTCGGACATTGAGGTGTGGGCGGCGGCGCCGCATGCCGCTGGGCCGTGGGCTGTGCGCCTCTCTTCACAGCAGGCGGCTGTGAACAGGCGAGGGTAGTGGCACGCTTAGTGACGAGTTAACCGATTCGCCTGACGCACTTCGTTAATTCATTGCCAGGCGAGGGTAGTGGCCCGCAGTCTTCGGTGCGAGTGGGCGGCAGCGGCAGCATCCGGGCCGTACCAGCTGCCCAGGCACGGGAGAGCGCGAGAGGTCCCCCGAGAGCACATGTAGTTAATGAAGGAGCGGTTGGCCAGGCACCGGCCTTGCCTGCTAATTAATCGATGACGACCTTCGTACTCCGGTAATGAACGCGCCAGGCACCGGATTGCCATTCCTTTCTCTGGAGGGAGGAGTAACTAATGATGAAGGCTTCTCTGGAGTGAGGAGTAACTAATGATGAAGGTTTCTCTGGAGTGAGGAGTAACTAATGATGAAGGCACTGGCCTTGCCCGTTAATCGATCAATCACTCACTCAATCAACCAATGAACGCGCCAGGCATTGGCCGTGCTTGTTAATTAAGTAACCACTTCTAACCGATCAATGAACGCGCCAGGCACTGGCCGTGCCTGTTTGTGGCCTCGCTGTGGGAGGGGCTGCTTCCCTTCTTGGCCGAGCCAAGCCCCTGCGGCGAGGGGCCGGTGGGGGAGGAGGCGGCGGCGGCGGAGGCGGCGGCGGCGGTGGCGGCGCGCTTGTGCGACGAGGCGCCGTTCACAGCTGCAGCACGGAGGGGAGGGGTGTAACGGCGTCTCTTCACAGCGCGCGCTGTGTGAACAGGCGTCCTCGCTGCGGTGGACCGACAAGGGGCTGGTGGCGGTGGGGGAGGGGGGGGAGGAGGAGGAGCGAGGCGAGGCGGCGGGGGTGGGCCCTCATAGCGGCCAGCCGGGTGCGGCCGAGGTGCGGCCGGCGCAAGGAAGGGTTGGGAGGCACACGCTGCATGGCGGCGCTGCTGTGACGAGGCGGCGGTGTGGGCAGGTGTGGCGGACGCTCGTGCACTGCTCGGCGGTGGTGGGGATGCACCCCGACGGAGCGACGGAGGCGATCGTCGACTTTGCGCTGGCGGGCGGCTGTAGGCCGGTCCGCATGCTGTGAGCAGCTTCTCTTCACACCCTGCTGCTGTGAACAGGCCAGCGGCAAGCCGTTTGCCGTGGCCCGCAACATTTGCCGTTTGTTGCTCGCCCGCCGTGAAGCTTGCCTCTTCACACCTCCAGCCGTGAACACTACTAGGTGCCCTGCTGCGTCTACTCTGCGTACTTCCCCACCCGCAGGGACAAGCGCGGGAAGCGAGTCACCTCGTACACCGCCTTTGTCAAGTGCCCTCGCCGCCAACACACCGACCGCTTGCCCCGCGTGAGCCTCGCCCGTTCACACCGTTGAGCGTGAACAGGTACTTCGTCGACAACGCCTCAAGGGGCCGAGAACAGCGTTTCTTAACACCTACAGCTGTGAACAGGTATTTGGTCGACAAGGCGCCCGGCCGCATCGGCACGAGGACGTTGCCCTTCGAAGGGAAGAACATCGTCGTGTACTCTCTGCCGGAGAGCGGCGGCGGCGGGGAGGGGGAGGGGGCGATGTTGTGCGAACCTTGCGAGTGAGCTCTAGTGAGTGAGTAAAGGCCGACGCGGCGTGAGGGGACGCCGTCGTCACGTGAGCAGCAGGGCCAGCACACAGCACTCAGCAGCCAGCACCAGCCCAGGGACTGCAGAAAGATCATATGCGTAAAGCCGTACGGCAAAAAGTGCTGAGACCTGTTCACCTGAGTGCTGTCTGGCGCCACATACTTTTACGCATTACGGTACTCGGTAGTATCGGTAGATAACGTAAAAGCGCCACAAGCCATGCACACACATGCCGGCTTTGACATGTGCGCTGCGCGCGCAGCCGCAGGCTAGAGACACGCTCCACACAACTATTTCGTAGTGAGGGGCCGCCCTCTCTCTCAACCTCATGTGAGGTTGGTATATCGCCCCCCCCCCCCCCCCCCCGGCCCCGGCCCCGGGCCCTTCGGCTTGGTCTCATGCTCTCTCCGCGTGCTCTCTCGCTTTTAAGAGTGCTCGTGCCTCACGCGCCGGTTAGCGGGGAGGGGAGGGGGAGCCCGAGCCGCTCGGCGGTCCGCCGCGCCTCCTCCAGCGAGATCTCCTCCTCCTCCTCCCCGTCACGCAGCCGCCCCGCCCGCCGCCCGTCCGCCTTCCACCTGACGCCCTCGCCGACGTCAGCATCCTGCTTGTAGAAGCACGAGTCCACGCCGCCGTCGGCGTACTGGAAGACGCCGCGCCCCTCGTACTTACCCGCCTTGTACTCGCCGTCGTAGACGTCGCCGTCGGCGTACCGGTAGACGCCGCGCCCCTCCATCTTACCCGCCTTGAACTCGCCCTCGTAGACGTCGCCGTCGGCGTACCGCAAGACGCCGCGCCCATCCTTCATACCCGCCTTGTACTCGCCATCGTAGACGTTGCCGCTGGCGTACCGCATGACGCCGCGCCCCTCGTACATACCCGCCTTCCACTCGCCGTCGTAGACGGTGCCGTCGGCGAACCGGTAGACGCCGCGCCCCTCGCGCTCTCCCGCCGCGTTGCGCTCGCCCACGTACTCCGCCTTCATCGCCTCGCCCGAGTCAACCATCGCGTTGTTCACCTTGGTTGCGTAGTCACGGTACAGCTGGACGACCACCGGCTTGTCGCCCTTGCCCGTGAAGGAGGCCTCCTCGATCGCGGCGATCACGCGCTTGTTACGCGGCCCCATCCCCTCGTCGGCGCGGTCCTCCATCTCTGCCACACGCGGCCCCGCGCCGTCGATCTCGACGACCTTGGGCGGCAGCCGCTCTTCCAGCAGCTTGCCCAGCCCTGGGAAGTAGGCGAGGCGCGCGAGCGCCTCGGTGCTCACGGCGCTCTCAAACGTCGTCCACCTGCCAGCGGAGAGGGGGAGGGGGGGGGGGGTTGCGGAAGAGCAGAGCTGTGGTGGTGGCGGGCTGGCGGGGCACCTCTGAGAGCGGGGTTGGGGACTCTCGCACGCCGCATCGCGGCGGCTGTGGTGGAAGGGAAGGGTAGACAAGAGGAAGAGGAGGGGGGGGGGGGCCCGGGGGGGAGGGGGGTGCGCACCCCGCGAGCGAGGTAAGGGCGGCCGTTGTAGAAGAGGAAGACGGCGATCGCGCCCGGCAACGCGTCTGCTGCAGCTGCTGCCGCCACCGCCTCCGCCGCCGCGTGCGTTGGGAAGCGCACGCGCCACCGGCCCTCCTCGTAGCGCGGGTTCTCAAACGCCCCGAGAGCACTGCGCAGCTCTGCCTCGGCGCCGGCGCCGTCGAGCCCGTCGCCCTTCTCGACGAGGACGACCACCTCGCCGTCCAGCTCCGCCGGGCGGGCTGGCACGGAGCGGTGGCGGATGACGATCGTGCCGAAGAGAGAGGCGTAGACGTCGCCCATGACCTGCGGAGGGGCGAGGAGAAGGGAGGCGTGGGGAGAAGCAAGGGCATGTGTGCGGGCGAGAGAGTGGGGAGTAGAAGCGCGGCGGGCGCAGAGGGCGGCGGGGAGAAGGCGGCGCGGACCTTGAGCGCTTGATAGAAGAACTCGTCCTCTGCCGCCGTCCTCGGCTTTTGCGGGAGCGAAGAGAAGCTGCGGAGGGCAGGCGCGCGGGGGGCGGGGGGTGTCAAGGATAGGCGCAGAGAGAACGCCTGCCCTCCCACGCAGTGCAGCCACTGGGTCTGGGGTGGGTCTGGGGCGGCGGCGCACTCCCAGAAGAGGGCGGTCACGTGCTCGCCGAGCGGGTCGCGCAGGAAGCGCCGCACGTTCGCCAGATACTCTCCAGTCACGTCGGGGTGGTCCGGCGAGGCCCAGCCGTAGGTCAGCCCGGCGACTTCGCGGCTCAGCGAGCGCAGCGCCGCAACAGCCTCCTCCGGCGTGAGGAAGATGCGGATGCGTCGCTCCTCCTCCAACCGCTCCAGCTCTTGCCGGCGGAGGAGCTCGGGCAGCACCGCCTCGGAGCCGTCGGCGCGCAGGAACTCGGCGCGGAGCAGCTTGATGGCGCCGGAGCGGAGGGCGGCGACGAGCGCCTCGTCGAGGGCCGCCAGCAGCGGGATGCCCTTGTGGTCGGCGGCGGTGAGCTTGGGCAGCGGGGAGGAGATGGGCAGCGAGGCTGCAGCGGTAGCAGAGGACCTCTTGGCCTCTTCGAGCATTGTGAGCTGCTGCCAAGGGTCCGCTTCTGCAGCTGGCTGCCAAGGGTCCGTTGCTGCAGCTGGCTTGCTCATCCCGCAGCCCATGAGGACCGGGCCTCAGCGGAAAAAAGAAATGACTGCAATATTTTCTTAGTGGTGCACATGCGGGGGGGTGATGGGGTCCCATGGCCCGCCGCAGGCGCCGATTATGTCAGTTTTTTTTCTTTTTTGCCGATTTTTACTTGTTTTCATGGGAATTCGGCGACTTGCGGCCATGCTATCACGCCTTGCGACAGCCTGTCGGCGCAGCTGACCGTGCCATGATGCACAATTGATGCATAGCTCGCGGCCTTAGTATCAAGCATTCAGTGACGACCTGATCGTACGGCCAGTAGGAAGGTGTCCTTCCATCGTGTGCACGCTTCTGGCGCAATGCGCGTCACAAACTGCCTCGGCGACTGGCTGCTGGCACTCTCGAGGCTATGCCTACACGGCCTCGCGCGCATGGGCAGTCAAGAGGGACCATGCACCTTCTCAGGACAGCGCCGGTGACTCTCTCTTGGACCGGCAAACTTGGTGGTATCGTGTCACCAATGTGGGACCAGTGCGGCATCGCGCCATCGACAGCTCTGAACTGCGCCTCACCACTGACCGGGAAGGCCGCCAAGTGGGCCAGCACAGGTCGCACATTGTGGCAGCAGTCAGCAGTGCATGGCTGATAGCTAGAGCAGCAGCGTCAGGGTCGCAGGGTCGGATCGTGTCAAGCCTCTCGCCCGGCCGGCCGCGTGCAGACGTCGGCCTGTCTGCTGTCTGGAGTGATCTGTCGGCGGTCAGTACGACCGATCAGGTCGGAGTTTTCTGATGGTTGGAGGGTCTATCTGTATGTACTCCTCGAGATCTTTCCAAATCTGCCCTCTGATTAACCTAGCTTAATCGGGAAGTCGGTGCTAGTGGAGACTAGTGGAGCCGGGGCCCCGTTTCCGCACTGCGGCGCGGCGCACGGTGCCTCCGGGGGGCCCCGCGCCGGCCCAGAGGGGCCAGCGGAGGGGAGGGGCGAGCCGAAGACGATAGACGCCCCACGGCTCCTACGAGGGCGGCGTGCTTCCGGGCATCCGCGTCCTCGGCGCCTTCCTTGGCGGTCTTGTGTGGTGCCGCGACAAACTGGTCAAGCGGGTCCGCAAGGCCTTGAAGCCGCTTCCGGGCATCCTCGCCTTGCGCGACTCCAACAGGACTCCAAGAAGATCCGGACGGCGCAGCAGCTCTCACAGGTGCTGATCCGCTTCTGCATGAACACCACTCTCACCTTCTTCCTCCGCACAATGCCTCCCAGCGTCACCCTGGCGGCGGCGAGGGAGCACGACAGACTGATTGCAGACAGCCTGTACGAGCTTGTCGGCGGCGCGCGAGTCGGGCGCAAGGATGTCCAGTGGGTGCGGGCGCTCAAGCAGGCGCGTCTGCCAGTCAACATGGGCGGCATGGGCTTGACTGGCGCCGAGGACATTCGCGGCGCGTGGGTTGGTACGTGTGGCTCTCGTCACGCGGCCGATCCGCGAGCTACACAGGCCCTTCGCCGATCTCGACGTCTCGACCGCGCCCGGAGAGTGTTTCGACGAGCTGCGAGAGGCGCACACGGAGCTCGTCAGCAACCACGACCTTACCGACAAGTGCGGTAATGTGTTACGGGTATCGGTCGCTGATTGAACACGCTACCTCTAGACCATCATCTACTCTGCTTGCTTCGGCCGTCGGCCGCTCGGTGGCCGAATGGCTTCCGGATCGAATCGGCAGGTTGACCCTTATATTTTTTTCACACCTGAGCGGGCCCAATTTTGCTCAGATGCACCTCCGAATTCGAAATCGTGTCCTCACGCTTAGCGCTGGGTGTGCGTTCGTTTTTCGTCACGGGTTCTCGGTCACCAGGTGCCAAGAGAAACAAACAAGGGCACAACAAACAACAGACAACAGGAAGTAACATGTGAGACTAGAGCAGCTTGCTCCGCCTCTAGCAATCTCGCCGCCCGGCGAGCACGGACGAGACCGTGTGTGGGGTCTAGTGATGTGTCTATGGACGCCCTCCTCAGAGGCTAGCTGCCTACTGCTAGCCCTTCTCGCACTCACGGACAGTGACAATTCAATGGGTGAGTGTTTGCGAGCAGAGGCGCGTGGGCTAAATCTAGGCCGCACGTCGTGGCACTATGACGAAGTTAGACGTGCGGCCGCAGCGCGCCCGCCCCAGGCTCGGCGGTGCGCGTGTGTTAGCGAGAAAGTTGCGGGTGGAGTGAGAGAGGCTTGCCTTTTAAGAATTCTTTGGTGACTAGTGTCGTGCGGGGAGTTTGTTAATAAAATTCTTTTGTCGCCCGCGCCTCGCCTGTCGCGTGAATCGTGTCGTGCGAGCGCCTTTTTTTGTAAAATTCTTTCGTCGGTAAATTCTTTTGTCACGGCGTTCGCTTTATATATACACATATGGAGGAGCTCGAGTTCACGGTGCGCCGCGGCGACGACGGCGGCCTCGGCATCCGCGTCTCCGCCCAAAATACCTGCCTCGAGATCATCTCTCCTCCCGGCGGCGGCGGCGAGCACCCGATCCAAGTCGGCGACGAGATCATCTCTATCGACGGCCACCTCCTGCAGGGTGTGCGGCTGCGCGAGAAGCTGCGCGAGATTGGCTCCAAGCGCGCCCACGACTTTCGCGTGCGACGGCGCCTCGCCCCCGCCGAGGGCTGGGACGGCGCGGCGCTGGCGGCAGAGGCGACGAGGGCTGTGGCGCGGGTCGAGGCGGTGGTGGCGGCGGCGAGGGAGGAGAGGCTGCCGAGCTCGCCGTACCACCCGCCGGAGCAGGAGCAGGCAGCGCGCCCGCCCGACAGACTCGCGAAGCAACGAGGTTCGCCGGCGCAGGCGAGGCCGCCGCGCAGAAGCCGCGACTCGGCCGGCGAGACTCTCTCGACCGAAGCGGCGGCGAGGGCGGCGGAGGGGAAGAGCCCGGCGGAGGTGGTGCTGGGCGACGACGACGACAACGACACCCTGCGAGCAAAGGTGCTCGCCCTCAAGGACCAGCTCCGCCTCTCCCAGGTGCTCTCGCCTCACCTCCTCGGGAAGAGATCGCACAGGGGCGTCCGAGAGAGGGTGGAGGTGGGCCCGCAGATGACGAAACTGTTGATCCACAGGCTGCGCTGGACAAGCTCCGCCGCGCGTCGGAGATGGAGCGGCGCGAGGATGCGCAGCGGTACGAGGATGACGTGGAGGCTCTGCTGGACCCGCCGGAGGAGCAGCCGCGTTGGAACATAGTTCAGTATATGCTCAGTCGTGTTCGATGTGTGCATCTGCAGGCGCTGCTGGACGCGGCGGAGGAGCAGCGATCAGCTTGGTGTCTCCAGTTCTAATGCACACATGACTGCAGGCGCTGCTGGACGCGGCGGAGGAGCAGCACGCTCTCAAGCTCGCGATTGCAGTGCAGACGGCGATCTCTTCGGCAGGGACGTGTGCTTAGATACTGGTTCTTGAGTTGTGATTGGTTATTGATCAGGCGCGCGAGGTTGAGGCGCAGGAGCAGAAGCAGCGGCGGGAGGCCGAGGCCGCAGCCAAGGCTGGAGAGCTCAAAGCGTTGAAAGCGAGCAGCCGCAGATGGCGGCGGAGGAGATCGCTCGAGATCGGCCGAGGTCACCCGAGATGTCTCCCTCGGCGTAGGAGCACGCGCAGATGGCGGTGGAGGAGGCGGTGGCGAGGGCGAGGCACGAAGGCGACGCTATAGAGCCCTCGAGGGGCACATGCGCCACGGTGTGAACGGCGCCTCTTCACAGGAGTTGCGGCGGTGTGTGGTGTGAACAGGCAAGGTCGCCCTCGAGGATGCGCTTAGTCGCGCAGAGGCGATGTCGCGCGACAGGCTGCACGCTGCGGTGGCGGAGGCGGACCGGTGTCCTAATGAATGGACTACATCATCATTGACTGAGGGATAGGCTGCGCGATGCGTTGGCGGAGGCGGACCGGTCAGGCGAGCAGCGGGACGTCAGAGCTGGCCCTGGTTAAGTCAGGGATAGTCATCAGTCACCGATCTCTTTTAACCAACCGACAGGCGAGCAGCGGAGGGAGCTGAGGAGGTGAAAGGGTGTGGTCCCCGATCACTAACAATCATACAGTTCACCGAGACAGGCAAGCAGCGGATGGAGCTGGCCTTGGCGGCGGAGGCGTCGGCGGCCAAGGCGCGCGTTATGCGTGTCGAACGCAGAGGACTCCGAGTCGACTACTCCTAACTGGTTACTGAGTACTTGTATGGCTCTCGCTCCTTCAGGCGCGCGTGTCCGACGCGGAGGAGAAGCTGCGCCGGCAGGTGGAGGAGCTCAAGACGCTCGCAACCAAAGTGGTCGGCCTGACTGCGGAGAAGGACAACCTCTCCTCACGGCTCGAGAGCACGACGGGCGACCTCGCGCCTAATCATACTTGATGATGTGAAGATAGTTAATTATTATCAGGCTCGATCGCACCACGGGCGACCTCGCGCCTTATCATACTCACTCATGATGATAGTTAATTAAGTGACAACAGGCTCGATCGCACGACGGGCGACCTCGCTCGCGAGCGGAAGGCGGTCCGGGACATGACCGAGTCTAATTCATTAGTTAATTAGTTGATTAGTTGATTACTTACTGAAGGCGGTCCGGGACATGACGGAGCTGAAGGAGCACCAGCTCAGCGAGATGCAGGCCCGTCACTAGTCGGTGGCTCAGCGGCAGCCGTAATTCTTTTTCTCACTCACAGCTCTGCGAGATGCAGGGGGGGGGGGGGGAGGTGAGTATTAGTGCGCGCGACCTATAATCATACCTATTGGTAATACTTAATTGGTTACTTGGCGGCAGGCGGCCCACTCGCGCGTCCTGGAGGCGAAGCGGGAGGAGGCGACGAAGCAGCTGCGCGAGGTGAAGATCGAGGTGCGCTGTCCAGCCGAGAGATACAGCCGAGAGGTAGACATGGAGATACAGCCGAGAGGTAGACACAGTGGAGACACAGCCGAGAGACATGGAGATACAGCCGAGAGGTAGACACAGTGGAGACACAGCAAGACACATTTGACTGAGTGAGGTGTGAGAGGAGGGCGCGAGGCGCAGCTAGAGGCGGGGAGGGAGGCGCTGCACATCTCGGCTGCACCTCTGCTGCATCTCTGCTGTCACTTCGGCTGCACCTCAGCAGCACCTCTGCTGTCACCTCAGCTGCATCTCTGCACTGTCACCTCGACCGCACCTCTGCTGCACCTCGACCGCACCTCTGCTGTCACCTCTGCTGTCACCTCTGCTGTCACCTCTGCTGTCACCTCGGGCTGTCACTCGCAGGTGCGGGAGGCGAAGCTGGAGGCGGGGAGGCAGATCCGCGAGGCCGAGATGAAGGCGCGGGACTCGATCCACGGAGCCCAATAATAATAATTACTCATTAACCATTAATGATTGATGAAGGCGCGGGACTCGATCCACGAAGCCCAATAATAATAATTACTCATTAACCATTAATGATTGATGAAGGCGCGGGACTCGATCCACGAAGCCCAATAATAATAATTACTCATTAACCATTAATGATTGATGAAGGCGCGGGACTCGATCCACGAAGCCCAATAATAATAATTACTCATTAACCATTAATGATTGATGAAGGCGCGGGACTCGATCCACGAAGCCCAATAATAATAATTACTCATTAACCATTAATGATTGATGAAGGCGCGGGACTCGATCCACGAAGCCCAATAATAATAATTACTCATTAACCATTAATGATTGATGAAGGCGCGGGACTCGATCCACGAAGCCCAATAATAATAATTACTCATTAACCATTAATGATTGATGAAGGCGCGGGACTCGATCCACGAAGCCCAATAATAATAATTACTCATTAACCATTAATGATTGATGAAGGCGCGGGACTCGATCCACGAAGCCCAATAATAATAATTACTCATTAACCATTAATGATTGATGAAGGCGCGGGACTCGATCCACGAAGCCCAAGCGGAGGCGGCGAGGCGTCTGGACGAGGCTCCGTCAAGAGCGCGTCTGCTGACTCGCCACCGACCCGTCACAGGCGGCGAGGCAGATGGACGAGGTGGCTGAGGAGAAGCGGGCGACGGAGGCGGAGCAGACGCCGTCGCAGCTGCTCTTCACACCTCTCGGTCCTTCACGTACTTGGTCTTTTCTGGCAGGCGGAGCGGGAGTCGGTGCGTGCAAGGGGGTGCAGCCGCGCCGCCGCCGCTGCTGTGAACAGCGCCTCTTCACGGCCGGGTTTGGTTGTGAGCAGGTGCGGGTGCAGCTCTCTCGCGAACAGCGCGAGATGCGGGCGGCGGTGGAGGCGATGCGACAGCGAGGCGGAGGAGGAGTGGACGCGAGGCTGTGATGTTAAAGCAGTGGTGACGGGGTGGTGATAGGCGGAGCTGCGCAAGCACGAGATGGAGAACGCGAAGCTGCACGAGGAGCTGGGCAGAGCACACGTCTTCTGCCGCGCCGCAGCGCAGCTCTATTTCTTTTTCTTCATCATCGTTTGTTTCTTTGTCTCTAAGGTCGTCTGCCGCGCCGCCGTGCAGTTCGCGCAGGTGGTCGAGACGTTTCGCACCAACTCGCCCGCCTCTGCCTTCCCGCTCGCCGGAGCCCTCGAGCGCTGTGTAGCGGCGCAGCCAAGCCTGTGAACGGCGTCTCTTCACAGCGCGCAGCTGTGAACAGGCGTCGCCGAGAACTTTCGCGCGAGCTCGCCACACGACACCCCCAACCGGCGCACGCCCCCCCTCCCCCCTGCCCCCCCTGCCCCCTCTCCCCTCACCAGTAAGCAGTAATAGGTAACACGACCACACCCCAGACGGGCGTACGCACTCTCTCCCCTCACCAGTATAGCAGCAGTAGGCAACCTTGATTCCAAGACCTCTGGCCGTTCTCCACACCGCTCCAAGCGACTACAGCGACACAGGGGACTTAGACGTGGCTTGAGCATCCCCTCGCCAGTCATCATCGAGAGATATAAGGGGGGTCACACATACCGCGAGTACATCCTCGCCCCCACAGCTCGGCTGCATCTCCCACATCTCGGCTGGATCTCCCACAGCTCGGCTGCATCTCGGAGCGTAGGATGCCAACCACCTCGTGTGTGTGGAGAAGTTTACCTTACCTTACCTTAGGTTGCCGGACTCTCGAGCCGCGGGCAAGGACGACGCGCTGCAGCCGCCGACGCCGCCGCAGCACGTGAGATTTTCCACCGGCCGACAGAGGCGGGGTGTGGGTGTGAACGGCGTCTCTTCACGCACCACGGCTGCTGAGTGAACAGGTGCGTGTCCCAGCGAGGCCGGTCCTCCCTCCGCCGGCCGCGCTGCCCGCGGCGGTCGGAGACAAGAAGAAGGGCGGCGAGGCGGCCGGCACGCAACCGGTTACGCGGCCGGCGGGCGCGTCTCCGAGTCTGTCGCAGGTGCGGGGCGGGGCTGAGAGCAAACTAAGTGAATACACACGCCCGCCCCCTTGGGTAGACAGATGGGGAGGGTGCTGGGAGCGTGCCCCCGCCCCCCGCGGTAGTGGCTGAGCAACATAAGTGAATTACTCGGTGTGGACACACGCCCCGCGGAAGTGGCTGTCGGCGTGGCAATGTCTCCGGACCGCTGTCGCAGGTGACCGAGCTGAGCAACGACATGGTGTGAGCATGAAGAACAGACGGTGGGGGGGGGCGAGGGTGGTGGAGTCTTGTCCAGAACACCTGCCTGTGTGCTGCCGGCGTTGTGGGAGGCGAGAGCGAAGGGGGCCATTCTAACAGACCATCTCATCGCAGGGAGCGGCGGACGGGCAGAGGTGAGGGAAAGAGGGCCAGCAGAGAGCGGTAGCTGGTCGAGGGAAATTAATATTGCGCGCCAGGAATTCTCCGGCGACCGCGCGCGATCGACTTCCATCTGCGACGGTGTATCATTCACTTTATGCCACCGTTGCATATCCGGATATGCAACGGTGGCATAAAGTGAATGATACACCGTCGCAAAACTGTCGCACCATCCAGGGGGAAACGCGGACGGATCGAGCGGACAGGAGAGGCCACAGGCAGCGCCTACATATGTAGTATCACAGCACTGTCAGGTTAAGGTGGTTCTTGAAAGTTGTGAACGAGCCCGCTTCTCTCAAAGTCGCATGGGGACGTCGCCAATCGGAAGCGCACCCACATGCCCCTCAACCCGTCGACGAACGAGACATCAAGGCGCCCATTGATCGCAGGTAACCAGCGCCACCCTCTTCCCATTCGCTCTTCATCCCGCACGGCAAATCTCCACGCAATGCGTGCTCGTCAAGAAAACCGCTACTAGGTCGAAAGTAAAGCCCTTCATCATAGGAGCCCCAATTGTAGTACTCGTTGGCGGGGTGCTCTTTGGTGCATGGCAGGGTGTAGGGTTTCTCAAGTAGGCCCCAGTCGTCGTCGTCGTCGTTCAGTTGCTCATTTGCCTCGTCGTAGTCGCCGCCCCGCCACTTGGGCGCCCAGTCAGGACCCACATTTCTCACCACTTGGTTGTCATCATAATACGCGGCGAGGCCCTCCTTGGGCAAAGGATCGCCCCTGTCGGTGTACGCTGTCCTGCTGCCGCCGTACTCACCATTCCCCTGCCACCACTCCATTTGGTACAGATCGTCGCCGAAACAGCGAAGCAGCTCCTCCTCTGACAATTTGCAGTCCTAGGCGGTGAGTATGTTGTTATCTTTAACACAGTGAGTATGTGGCCCAGATTCAACCTGTTATGGGGTTTCTCTCATTCTCAGCCAGCACCTGATCAACATCGATGAGGCTGAAGATGGGGCCGTAAGTGGGACCCTTCTTGTGCAAGCTTCCGAGCTCCCAAAAGCCGAATGCTGTAGGGTGCTCGGCTGCGGTTGGGACCAACCTGCAAAGCTCCTCGCACAAGAAGGTGCCGCCCCTGCCAGCCTCAGAAGGAAGGTGCACACACGGGACCGAAGCTGGCTGCAGGACTGGGCGAAAGTGGACGACTTCCTGGCTATCGTCGTTCCAGTAGAAACTCGATGTCGACCAGTCGTAAGGCACGTACCCGGAAGACGCAGCCGCCGCAAAGTGCGGCGGCTGGTCTAGGCCGTTGATAATAACTTGGGTATTGGTCGGAGGCTGCGGCGGCGGGGGCGGCGGGAAGGGCGGCTGCGGCGGCGGGGGCGGCGGGAAGGGCGGCGGCGGCGGCGGCGAAGGTGCTGGCTCACGCGAGCCACAGTCGAGGCAGTCCGTGCCATACTTGCACGAAACATACACGGACCCTGGCCCGCCGTCGTCGCAAACATTATCGCCGGAATAGGAACAGGCGTTTGTGCAGATTTCAGCGCCGCTGCCCGAAACAGGGGCCGGAGCCTCCTCCGGAGACTTTCCGAAGCCGGGCAGGCCGCGCGCCGCCAAAGCAGCCTGACCCTCGTCCGTGTCGTCTGCAACCAGCTCGGTTGTCTCGGTTGACTCAGCCTCTGGTTGCACGCCGAGTATTATGCTGCCGAGGCCGAACAAGGGGTCAAGCCACTTCTCCGGTGGGGTACCGACATTGAGGCGGTGGAGCGCAGGCGAGAGGCTGCAAAAGGCGCCGACGAGGAGGACGAAAGTCGCGCCGACGGCCAGTACCCGGGTGCGGGTGCGGGTGCGGTTCGGGTTGGCTCCGATCATGCCGCGAATGGGATGGGGGACGGCCGAGAGTTGCTCCACACACACAAGTGGTGGGGCAACACACACACACGGCAAGGGGGGGCGACCCTCGCATCTCCACACCCGGACACGGGCAGTGCGACGGTGGCATAAAGTGAATGATACACCGTCGCAGGCAGGAGCCCGCGCGTGGGTCGGAGGTGGGAGGAGAAGGCGCGGGGGCGACGCTGCACCGCAGACAATGTGAGATCGGAGTGTCGCTACGGCTTTACTGTAACGTGTAAAGCCGTAAGAGGCTGTGAGAGGGGCACGGGGCTCGAGGCGTCGAGGGAGCCCGGGGGTCGAGCTCGGGGAAACGACGGTACACGTAGAGTATACTTTTACGGAAAATTTACCTAGGAGACACGCCGTGGCAATCGGTGCCATTGTTCCGCGCTTGCGGTATGCCGGAGCATACTGAATATATGCGCGCGCATCTCTCGGCTGAACAACTTTCTCGGGGCTAGATCTCGTCGAGCGTGCGGCACACGGCGGCGACAAACTCGCCCGCCGCCCGCGGAGGCTTGGCGAGATTGTGCGACGCGCCTGTGAGATTGCCCGAGATGACCCGAGATGACCCGAGATTGAAGAGGTGCGTGAGTGCGGCTCGCCGCCTGCTAGAATGAGTGCGGACGCGCCGTTCTCTGCGCCGCCCGCCGCTGCGACGAAGCGCCTCGCAGAAGGGGAGTCGAGATATGGCCGAGATATAGCGGAGATGTGGCCGATGTATAGCCGATGTATAGCCGAGAGGTATAGCCGAAAGATATCCGAGATGTGTCCGAGATGTGGCGATGTCGCCTCGCCAGCAGCGGCACGTCGACGGACGGCGGGACGTACTCGTCGCCTGACTAATGGTGGGTGATCACTTCACCGAGTATGGATGAGTAGGCGTCAGCCTCAAGCATGTGTTCGTCGCCTGACTAATTAATTAATTAATTAATTAATTAATTAGTCTGAATGAGTAGGCGTCAGCCTCGAGCATGTGTTCGTCGCCTAGTTAATTAATTAATTAGTCAATTAAGTATGGATGAGTAGGCGTCAGCCTCAAGCACGTGTTCGTCGCCTAATGGATGACGGGTTGCCAATTAATTAATCACGAATTCGCAGGCGTCGACCGCCAGCATTGTAGTCGTAGCCTCCGGAGAAGCAGAAGAGAGTGCGCAGGCCTGCTCTCACGGCCAGCGGGTGTGACGAGGCGGCGCATGACAGCGTGCGGCGGCAGAACAGAGTGCGGCGGACCCGGGTGGCTCGGCGCCGTCGCCCTCTGCCCAGCGAGGCCCATGTGGCCGAGCTTCGCGGCCTGAGAAAAGACGCGGAGACGGTGTGACTGGCGGGTAGGTTTTAGCGCTGATGTGGATGCGGCCGCGCTGCTGCCAGCCGCTCGTCGGTGAAATCGGAGGAGAAGAGGTCGTCTGGTCTGTTCACAGCCAGAGGTGTGAACAGTCCGCCGATCCGAGCCCGAGGGGCAGGGGGGGGGGGGGGGGAGGCTGCCCGTCGCGCCCCACCAGCGACGCGAACCTGTTCACACCTCGAGGCTGTGAACCACACACATGCCTCGCCCAGCCCTGCTGGCTTCAACCACCGGCAAGCACCTCGAAGCGCTGATTGGGACGAATCCGTAGTACTTTTGGCTGAGCAGCGCCTCGCCCTCGCCCGCCGCCAGCTTCGCCTCCGCCTCCGCCAGCAGCCTGTTCACACCCCGCAAGCGTGTGTGAAGAGACGCGGATCACTGCTGCCTCCGCTGCCTCCGCAACCATCCCCGTGCCGGGGTGTATCTGCTTATCTCGGCTGCATCTCGGCTGCATATGGGCTGTCGCTCAGCTGCATATCTCGGCTGTCTCTCAGCAGTATCTCGGCAGTATCTCGGCAGTATCTCGGCTGTATCTCAGCTGTATCTCGGCTATATCTCGGCAGTATCTCGGCCGTCTGTCGGCTGTCTCTCGGCTGCATCTCGGCTGTATCTCGGCCGTCTCTCCCCGCCTGCCGCGTGACCCGTCCGAGTCTTGCTCGACAGTCTGCGACTCTCGGTCGCTCACCGGCGCCTGCAGCACCGCCGCACGGACCCTGCTCCGCAGTTAATCAGCAGTTAATTAGCAGTGAATTCGCAGTGAATTCGCAGGGAATTCGCAGTTAATTCGCAGTTAATTAGCAGTTAATTAGCAGCTAATTAGCAGCACCGCCGCACGGACCCTGCACGGCGCAGCTCGGGCGTCGGATGTGTGAAGTAAGGTATGAACCAACGGTGGATACCGCATCGCAGCTCCGGCCGTATCTAAACAGTTGACGCGAGCGACTCATCGACCCCTCACGCTCCTGCAGCGCAGCTCGGGCGGCGCCGTCCGCAGCAGCGTGACGGCGTCCTGGCAGCCGGTAGAGTGGCCTGTTCACAGCGGCGAAGGTGTGAAGAGGCGCCGTCCGGCAGCGCGGCGCCACTGCCGGCTGAGAGAGGAGTGGCGCCGACGAGTGCAAACTCTGCGTCGCCCTCTTCGCGGTCGGCGATGTGCCGCAGGAGCTGCGCCTGCTCACACGTGCATATGCGCTGGTAGTTGAACTCAAATTGACTGCTGCAGTTGTGAGTGTGTGTGTGTGTGTGTGTGTGTGGCGCAGCGGCGCCAGCTCGTCTGCGTCCCTCTGCAGCGAGGAGCAGCCGAAGCCGGCGTACGAGGAGGAGAGGACAGGCTGGACGAGCGACCAGCCTCTCTCGTCGAGCGCAGCGCCGAGCGCCTCGACGTATGAGCAAGCGAGCAGGCCGTCGGTGAGTCCGCCGATGTAGACGCAGTACTTGCGGTGCGCGTGGGCAGCTGGCGACTCGAAGGCCTGCAGCGGCGCCGGCCAGGACGGGTGCTTGTAGCGATAGAGGCAACCGGAGAGCGGTGCGGTCGGCGAGGCGGCGGCGGAGGAAGCGAGGCGAGAAAGGGCTAGGAGGCCCTGCGCGACGCGCCGCCTCGAAAGGAGGGCACCGACCATGGCCGCGGTGACGCCAACGGCGAGCAGGCGCTCACGCGTGGCGGACATGTGACATGTACATGTCTTCAGCGCCTCTCTGTGGAAAAAGAAAACATGTGCCCGCTCACACCGACACATTCCCTCATCCCTTGCCCTTGGCTGAGCACATCTACCTGCGAGCTAGTCTCTCCGCATTCTCTCCCCTAGTCATCCGCCCGCGCCGCGCGCCATCTACTCGAGTAATGGGCGTCTAGTGCAGCCACTGACGGCAGCACTATTCCAAAGGAGCGGTCGATGCCTGGGGCTGGCGGGCTGGGTGGGCGGTAAGCCGTCATTGCCCGGCGCTGCTTGCAGCGCTCTGGGTGGTGGTGGCGGCGCTCCAAGAGGGGAAGAGCCCCCCCCCCCCCCCCCCCAAAGGCGCGAGACACACGTCTCGCTGATACCGCCACTTCCGTCGATCACCTCTTATTCTCTCGAGTATCCCTCGAAGCCCGAGAGCCATTGCGCGAAGTTCACTAGCACTCGTCGTTGCCCCTCGATCGAGCCCCTGCGTTACCATACACACACACAACACACGTATGACTGTGAACGTGCGATTTCGGGTCATACGTGTGTTCACAGCGTTTATGTGAACGGCGACTGTTTCGCCTCGTGTGCACGCTGTTGAGAAAATGCCGCGCACCTACGAGGAGAAGCTGGAGCTGTGGCGCAAGCGCGGCGGCGGCGACCTGGAGCCGGTCCTCGCGAGCAGCGCCGTCGCCCTCCTCGACGCGCAGTGGCTCATCCGCCACGCCGAGGCGGGCGGCGTCCTCGCCCACCGCCAGGCTCTGCCCAAAGAGGCCTTCCTCCCCGTCGCCGACCTCGTCGAGGCGACCAACGAGTATGACCTTCCCGTCGCCGCGCTCTCCCTCCCGTGGCTGACCAAGGACCACCCCGACCCGCGCGGAGCCAACCTCGCCCGCGTCGCGAGGGCGCTCAAGGCCCTGCTCACTGACAATTACGGCAAACTCACGCGGCTCGGTGTCTTTTGGGACTTCGGCTCGCTGCATCAGCACCCCGACCCCCCAAACGGCGTCCTGCGCACCGAGGAGCAGAACGCGCTCTTCAAGCAGGGGCTGGGCTGCCTCGGCACGCTCTACTCCCACCAGCACACTTGGGTGCTGCGGCTGACCTCCTTCCCGGACGGCCACAAGGCGGAGGATCAGGCCGAGGGCACCAACGTGGCCAAGTACTTTGACCGCGGCTTTTGCTTTTTCGAGAGCAGCTTGGCGAGTCTGACCAAGAACAGCCAGCTCTCGCTCGACCTCGGCTTGATGCGCGACGGCAAGGAGTACGACCGCGAGAGCCTCATCGTTGACTGCACCGAGAGCGGCGGCCGGCACCCTCCGCTGCTGCCGTCTGCGTTCGCGGCGGAGCTGGAGAAGAAGAGCTTCACCAACGGCAAGGACGACAAGCCGCTCCTGAAGCGGCTGTACGAGGCCGCCTTCGAGGAGCAGTTTGGCAAGGCGACCAAGCTGAACTACAGCAACCTCGGCTGGGGCGACGCGGAGGCGGCGCAGGTGGCGGAGGTCCTGGCGAGCGGGGCAGCGCCGCGGCTCGAGAAGCTCTATCTCTGCAAGAATCAGATTGGCGACGTGGGCTGCTGCGCGTTGGCCGCCGCCCTCAAGGAGCAGGGAGCCGCCCCGCGGCTTGAGGAGCTCGATCTCGGCGCCAACGATATTGGTGACGAGGGCCTGCAGGTGCTGGCCACTGCACTCAGCGAGGGCGCCGCCCCGAGCTTGAAGGTCATGAGACCCAACCGGTTGCACACGCCCCGCCGCCTCTCTCCCATGCTAACCGCTCCTGCCCTCTGAAATAGTCACTCCACGTGGGCCGCAAGCTTGCGCAGCTGGATGCTGAAGGCACAAGGCGCGGCATCAGTGTCCATCTCAGCCTACCAAGCGAGATCAACCTACCAGGCACCCCGAACATTTCAAAGGCTGCCGCGCTCAACGACCAGCCGCAGGGCATCGACCGCTTTGGGTATCGCCCTTACGCCGAGGCCCTCGTCGCGATGTTGCTTACGGCAACTCCGCCGACGTGCATCGGCGTCTATGCGAAGTGGGGCTCGGGCAAGTCCTTTTTCATTAGCTTGCTCAAGAGGGAGTTCGACAAGCAGTCGCGGCCTGACGATGCTGGCCTTCTGCCGCCCGACTACGCGGAGTTGCAAGACGACAAGCGCACTGGCGAGCTGCGGCAGTGGTTTGAGGTGGGATCCGGCAGAAAGGAGCCACGACCGCACGCGAAGCAGGCGGCGGCGGCGGCGGCGGCGAAGGAGGAGGAGGAGTCCAAGTGGTGGCGCTGGTGCTCATGCTCATGGCTCGCCCTCGATGTCACGACGTTGCTCGGCGGTGTGCTCGGCGGTGTCACAACGTTCCTTGGCGAGTCGACACCGTACTGGGTGCGGCGTGTGGATTGTGTGCCTTGCAGGTGCCGCACCATATAATCGAGTGACCCCCTTATGCAGGTGACGACGCTCGAGCTCGTGCTGGAGGACACGTTTCAGCTCGTCGATCATGGCAGCACGTTGAGCATGCGGCTGCTCCTGCCGCTCAGGCTAATCTACTGGGCGCTGCTCGTGCCGTTGTTCGTTGCACTCAAGCATTGCGCCGAGAAGCTGTTCGGGTGCATTCTTTCTAGGGTACCCAGGCTAGACCCCCCCCTAAAAAGATATTCTGCCACTCGTTTCTCGCGCGAAACGCCGCTGGTCTTCCGACAGCAGCGGCGGGCACCAGCAGCGTCGCGCGCGCCGGATTCGGGCGCGGCAGTCGCAGCTGGGACCGGGGCCATCGGGCAGAGCCAGTGGTTTGGGTTGCGCGCGCCGATGAGTGCCGACAGCGAGCTTGGCGTGTTCCGCGAGGATGCGGAGGCGAGAGCCGCAGAGAAAATAGTCTGTCCGGAATTTCAGCACTCAAGTTACGCCTAATAGCGCCGCAGCCCCGAATCTACCACCTGGCCTGAGCCTATTTCCCGTGTCCCGGCGCAGGCGCGCGAGGAGGTGCAGAATGACGTGCTCTATGAGTGGGCCGTGTACAACCACGAGAAGGGCACGACCTGGCAGAAGACTGCAGAGAAGCTGGCGTATCAGATCGAGAAAGGACAGTGGCCAAAGACGACGCTCGGCCCGCTAATGAGCGACGTCTACAACGGCACGCCCAACACGCTCGGCAAGAAGTGGGAGCGTCGCGATAAGGTGAGCAAAGGCGACACGCGGCAGGCGCGCAGACGCGTCAGCGAACGGCTGCAAGAGGCCGGCCAGCTGTACTGGGACCTGGACCTCGCGCCCGACGTGCGCATGTTCGACTTCTTCAAGCCGCGGCAGAACCGGATCATCAACGCGGGCGCGGCCATCGCGCAGAGCAAGGCGTCGGAGCAGGCCAAGGCTCTGCGCGAGGCGCTGCCTCGGCTCGGCGCGAACGGCGCGCGCACTCCCTGCCCCGCCGCCAACCCGGAGAACATCGACTCGGTGTACAGCTCCTCGACGTCCGGCTCTTCCGCCGCGTCCACCGGTCCTCTGCAAACTCCTTGGCCGAGACGGTCCAGTCGGCGTCGCCCTACGTGCAATGAAAGCGGGGTGCAAGCGAAGGAGTGGGTCGGAGACGCACGGCGCAGAATGCAAGGCGCTCGCCGCCGGGGCGGGCTCCATCTCTGGAACCTCCTTGGTCGAGACGTTCCAGTCGGCGTCGCCCTATACGCATCGAACGCGGGTCAGATAGTGGGTTGGCAGACGCCGGCGCGCGGAATGCCAGGCGCTCGCCGCCGGGGCGGGCTCATCCTCCGGAAACTCCTTGGTCGACGGCAGCGTCTCGCCGCCGGCCGCCGCCGGCTTGACAGCCGTGGCAACTTTGGTGACCGGCTCGAGCGCCGGGCCGTTCTTGGTGACGCCGGTGCAGGCCGTCGGTGGGTCGGTCGGGCGCTCAAACTTGGACCAGAAAATGGCGTCCGCGCTCGGCTTGTGGGCGGCAAAAATGGCCTTGGCCCGGTCCGAGTCGACCGTCTCCGCGGCGGTCGCCTCTTCCGCGGCCAGGTCTTTCTTGAGGATGCTCTCGTCGAGGGGCGCCTCCGCGCCGGACTCGGCCACGGTGACGTCCTCAGCGGGTGCATTCTTGGCGCCGCTCGCCTGTCGGCGAGGGAGAATGGGGAGCTTTTGGGAGGAGAGTGGAGATCTGCGACAACAAGCGCACACGCACCGCCTTGGCTCCGAGGAGCGGAGGCGAGTTCGACTCGGAGATGACGAGCTTGATGCTGCCGTCTTCGGCCGGCATGATGCCGACCTTCACTTCCGTCTTGTTCTCTGACATGTTGTTGATCGAGTTCACTCGTACCTATGATAGGGGGCGGTGGATGGCGGGTGTGTGATATTCACGGGCGGGGGAAGGGGGGAGGGGGGAGGGGCGCTTCAAATTAAGGTCAAATTTCGTCAATTAAAATTAATTGACGAAACTTGATGACAATCTCGGGCAATCTCGGGTGGCGCATCAGGACGAGCGATAGAGCGCCTCCACAAAGAGGTGCGGAAGTGCCATACCGGGCTCGAAAGTGATCTCGGGTAATCTCGGGTAATTGAGTATGCTAATTGACGAAATCTCGGATGATCTCGTCAATTTAGTCAACTCGTGGCGCAATGATGCCCCAGAGCATTTCCAGGAATTTCGTCAAAGTTCCGTTAATTATGTTAATTGACGAAATGTCGGCTCAATCTCGGTTTATCTCGGCTAATCTCCTGCTCTGATTGCTGCACATCGTGTTCCGGGCCACCAGCGCTGCTTCTCTCTTTGAGAGCGTCTTTGAGGGGCGGAGTCGAGAGGAAGGGGGCTCAAGAGGGCCGCACCTACTCGCAGCGCACGCAGCTTGAGGCCCGGCTCCAAGGACACCGCGGCACGCCCGTCTCGCCCACGTTGTTTTGGATCTGCGGGGGCGCAGGCGGCCGGACGAGCGTCAGCAGCATAAAATGGGATGAGCATGGCGCGTGCTTGCTTCGGGCGTCGCGGGAGCGCAGTAGGCATGGAGGCGATTCGCGGCTGCGCGCTAGACGGCCGCTCTGCCCGCAATCCGGCTGCGCCAGATTCGTGGCGCTCGAGCCTCGGAGCGAGCCGCTCGCGCGGCGGTCGCAGCACGGCGGGCAGCCGGCACGAGCGCGCTGCAGCGCTTGGGACATTGGGCGAATCGGCTGGGCACGCTCGCGCATAGGGCCAACACGCGCCGCGTCGCGCGGGGCGAGGGGAGGAGGCGAAGGGGCAGGGCAGCTGCATTCCTGAGGGCGTGTGTTTCGTGATTTGCGACTTCGATCAAAATCAGCGCCTTCGGCACTACTCACTCGAGGTCTCGCGGGTGTGTGTGGTGTGTGTGTGTGTGTGTGTGTGTGTGTGTGTGTGTGTGTGTGTGTGTGTGTGTGTGTGTGTGTGTGTGTGTGTGTGTGTGTGTGTGTGTGAAAGCGCCATCGCAACTGCCATGTGGCCCCTTGTAGGCTGGTGCTCTCGCCCCGCTGGCGGCGCGGACCGGTGCCGCGGCTCCGAGCCCTCCTGTGGGCCCGCGGCGGCTCGCCGTCGCGGTGCCGAACAATGTCATCGGTCCGGATTCATCCCGGCGTGCCGCCGGTGGCACTTCTTCGCCGAAATTTTGCTCAAGCTCTTTGTCGACAAAGCTGTGCCCGAGCTCCTGCTGCTCGACTGCGCGGCGGAACCGGCCCCTGGATGCTGAGATGTGAGGCGCCGGCACCAGGGCTACCACGCGGGGCCCATCTCCAGGCTGTCTCGCGCCACCTCACCCTCGGCGCCTCTCTCTGCTGTCGC